TCTTCGTCTCTCCGCAAGTGCCACTCCATCTGTATCCTTCTTCTCAACAGTGAAGCAACTTTAGGGTGTCGTGTCTTGGTTGATTTGGAAGCATTTGGGACAGTCTTGCAGTGGTGGACCATCGGTTTGCTAGTTCTATGCACTTTACTTATTTAACCTACAAATTCGATGCATGTGAGGAACCCGCTCTGACGGTTGTCTGAGGATAGCATATTTTTAAATTTCTTTATTTCTTTAAAATCTCCTAGCATCTTTTATTGTGTTTGTCAAGTTTTGGGTCGTTTGCTTTTATTTAATAAAGTTTGTTTTAAGTTCTACTTATTGTGTCAGTTTTCTTCTTGTGTGTCTACATCAGCAGTCAAAAGCAAAGGTAAAGCCTAGGTAAAGCGCAGTCAAAAGCGAAGGTAAAGCGCACCTAAAGCGCAGTCAAAAGCGCAGGTGACGTGGCATGTTTTTATTGGATGTCCAAACCTATTCTGCGAGTCCGGTGACCGGATGCAATAATTTGCCCATTTTTTTAGGGAATAGGCTTTGTTTAAGTCAAGCCACATAAATCTTGGTTTAGTTTGTGCAATTAAGCTTCTTTGGATTGATGACCCACTTCAATACCAGTGCCTGAAAATCACCAGATCACAGGCATACAAATTAATAGGCTTTTCAATTTCCATAATTTTATGAGGCAGTGTAGTTGAGATCAAAATATAAGGAGACAATTTCTAGGCTTTAATTGAAAAACAGAGTCATTCTCTCGGTTGGGAGACTCAGATAATTACATGCAAGAAGATGCTTCTTAATTAGGAATTATCAGCCTAACCGATATTCGATGCTTAGAGTATTTTATTATAAATGAATGATGATAGTTGGGGCTACAGCTAGCATCATCTGGGTGACTGGTATCATCTTGAAGGTACTCCTAATTGTGACAACCTCGGCTTCTTCTTATTAAGAGTTGAGTGTATTCAAGCTGTGGGAAGATGTCCTTATTTTTGTACATCATTTACAGCTTCTAATTTAGTGGAGCGGATCCTCTCCCATTTTCTACAGGCATAGGTTTTATTTAAGTCAAGCCATATAAATCTTTGTGTTCTGTATGCTATTTTGATGCTATTTTGTGGCATACGTGTTTCAATCCAGAAAGTGCTTTTGCAATGAGTTAGATGTTTCATTCTAAAAAACAGTTTAAAGGCCTATTATAGAGCATGATGACCACAAAGTTTGAGATCGAGAGGTTTGATGGTTCAAAAAATTTTGGGCTTCGGAGAACAAATGTACTTGATCTTCTTATTCAGTATAAACTTCTAAAGGCACACATGGGGCCCTCAAATATTATTAATCTATGATAATGAGTGAAGAAGATAAGGCATAAATGGATCAAACATCAATGTAGATAGTTGCGCAATTTCCAACATTCTAACACCTAGTAATGGCTGACATTAGATACCAACTTTTAGCACTCGTCTTACTGGTCACATTGTCTCCCATGCCATCAGAAGAACTACCAATCCAATTGCCCACCATTACTCGACCTCCTACATTTCTCATCAAACATCTCCCTATTCCTAATAATGATAGGTATTTGAAGCCTTTCAACCATCGATGTCTAACATCCATTTTCCTTGATCATTTGAGTTACCCTCCCATTAAAAAAATGACTAAGCCAACCATCCATCCTCACCTAACCTCCAACATTTCTTGTAGACAAGACCTATAATGTTCATCCAATGCCATCTTCCCTATCACTTAGCATCCTGTCAAGAGAATGATCGAGTCAACTACTAATAGTCGCCCAACTTCCGATGTTCTTTGCCAATCCTCACCCAACACCAACCAATGCTTGATATCTGACATCATTCAACCATCAAAGTGGGATGTTCGCCTTTCATTTCACTTAATATTCCAGCATTTCAGGAGAATGATCAAGAAAATAATCAATCATTGCCTAATTTTTGACATTACAAGTCAATCTTTATCAAATGCTTGTACATTGACCGATGTCTAACATCCATCAACCACCTATGTTTGGCACTCATCTTCCCTATTGCTTGGTATCCCCCTCTAATTAGGAGAACGATAGAGCATACCATTGACTGTCACTGGACTTCTAACATTCTAAATCTACCATCATCTGAAGCTTGCCATTGACTAACATTTGATGTTCATTAGCAATTGTCATATAAAGCATACCAATAAATTTTATCCAATGCACTTCTTCTTAATCAATCAATCTCCTCTCATATTAGGAGAATGTGATGGGAACATCAGAGCTTGGAAGGTTTATCACCGTAGAGGCCGGAGATCTACGGTCTTGATTGAGTCTTTATATTTTTAGTTTTCATATGTTGTAGGAGATTTATGTGGTGTTATTTATTTTTATTATAGTTTTACCCTCTCTTGAGGGAGCTTTTGTGTTGTTTGGTCAAGGGCCTTCTTGTCTTTTATTCCTTTCATGTTTTGGTGCCTATATATATGAAGCATTGTTCTCTTGTAAAGATGATGAATATTTGATATAAAATTTCTGCTTATATGTTTCCTCTTCTCTAGGTGAGTTGAGTTTGTGCGTGAAGTCCTTTGGAGAAAGGCAAAGAAATACCCAACAGCTTGTGAGCTCTTGGTTGATATCATCTCCCTCTCTCTCTCTCTTCTTCTCCTTCCCTAGCCATCCAATAATCCCCACCGCTGCAGCAACCTGCTACCCTCAACCCATCACCTCCTCTCTTTCTTCCATTCTGCCCGCCTCCACCTTCTCCCCAACACCCTAGACCCTTGGGCTTCTCAATCTTGTAATTAATTCACATTAATTGAGCATTTGTCTCAATTAATTGTGACCTTTGGGAACCCATAGCAGCTTTAACTTTTCTCTCTTCCCAAAGCAACCACTTTAACTTTTCCTTTTCCCAAGCCAACTAGTTCCCTTCCCAATCAAGATACACTAAATTCTCTCTTTCCAAAGAAACCACTTAAACTTTTCCTTTTCCCAAGCCAAGTACTTTCCTTCTCAAGCAAACCACATCAGCCCTCTCTCTTTCCCAAGAAACCATCTTAACCTTTTCACATCCCAAGCTGATTTCTCCAATCCAAATCCTCCTATAGCTGAAACTTTCTTTTTCTCCTCACTATTCTACCTTTCCAAGGAAACCTAACATCTACTTTTGCAATGAAGACATCAATTTATCAAAGAGTAAGTTTTTCAAGGGGAATCCAAGGAGGAAGTAGCCGTCATTTCATCAAGAACTTCATTCATCCCATTCATGAACTAAAAATCAAACCCTTCCCTTGTTCTTCTTCTAAATAAATATTAATCTTCTCATTTCATCTTTAGTAGCATTATTTCATATGTGTTGATTAATCTGCCAAGCCCAACTTAAATTTGAGTGATCGAAAACTCTAGTGACTAGCCCCTCAATTAAATATTGTACTTGTGCCAACCCATGTTAGCTAATCTAAATTGATTCACCTATTTTTAATGTTTAGCCTTTACTTGCTAGTTTCTTGCTATCACATGATCTAATAGTTCAAATTTTCTCATTGTTCTTAATGTCTTATATAGTTTATTTTGTCATATTTGATATTGTTATTTTAGCCTAAATCTCTAATTGCACGACTCATTTCATTTAGTCCTGCATCAGAATGACTGAGCAGATTGTTGAACATCACCCAACTTTCAACATTCCCTATCAACTATCATCTAGCACCTACCAAAAATTAGCCTTTATCTTCCTAATAGCCCAACCTAAGACCAAGCATTACACCTACTATCACTTGATGAAAACTCAAATAGCTCAACTCGTACTACCGTAGGAGATATCTTCCATGATTCTATCTATCACATTGTATTAATGGCTTCTTGAGCTATGGGGAACGACTTCTTTTATAATCCTTGGAAGTTCAGAATCATTTTGATTAAGCTAGACTCTATGCTTTTCTTTCCCAGAGATTTTTGTTGACCCTCATGCTATACCCAAAGGAAGAGATGAGAGAAGCAAAGTGAAAAATCCCACGTACAAACCTCATACCCGACGGATCCATGAAATCTGCCGAGACTCTGCCGCAAATCCCCGGAATCCTGTTGAAATCACGCTGGCAGCGCCGATTCATGTCGTTTCTCTGCAATTCCTGCTCAAATCCCACAGCCTCGATCGCACCCCTTGGACGCCTTTAAAAGCCGATCGAACGAAGCTCTCTTCCATCTCTATCCGATTACACACACGACTCCTCTCTCGCTGCACTGCTCTCGGCTCTCTCCCATTCGCAAATCCACAACCTCTCCTCCGATCTCCCCCTCTGGCCGACGCCTCCTCCCATCTTCCTTTCCCATCCCGTCGCTACTCCTCTACCCGACGACCCCAGCTTTTGCTTGAGCCGTTCGATCCATACAGAGAGAGAGAGAGAGAGAGAGAGAGAGAGAGAGAGAGATTGCGCCTATAGTAAACCAGAACTCAGATCATAAAGTCCTCGCAAAATGAGGGCGAAATCTCTGGGTTGTGTCTTATCTACAAACCCATCTGCCTTCCAAAATTTACCTCGGAACTTATTCCGTTAAAACTCCCCTCGCCGAATATAAAAAAGAAATCGTGCGGCGGGGAGGCCGGGGCCGAATTTTTGGAGCCCACAATTTTACATTTAAAATCTCATGTCTCCTCATAGCGATTCTCATAAGTGTGTAGAGAATTTTTTGCTTAATGTTTAGACTTTAAGTTCTCCCTATAATGCCAAGAATATTCAACCATGCAACAATTTCCATATAGTATTTCACATAGGAAATATTTTCATGAAGAAAATGGTAGGAAAATAATCATATATATAATACCACTTATTGTGTCAATGGAAGTTGATTTCAATTGCATTAGAGAGGCTACCTAAGAAGCAAATTCTCATGCATATATATAAGTTAAGCATACAAATGGGTGCATAAGAAAATGATTAGTGTCCAAATATACCATCGAAAAGTGTTTGACAACACAATTAATGATGTTCAGGAAAAATATAAAATAAAAAAAACATTTGGTTAGTACAGGAAGAAAAAAAAATCAAAACTTTACCGGCTCAGAGATAAAAGCTCCAAAAAGTAAATAAACTGACCTGTATAATGGCAGAGTGGATATAAAAATTATGAGACATTATATTTGCTCCAAGAAGAGCCATGACAGCGTACGCATTCTCCCCAGTCAATTTCGGCAAAAACTCATCTATAACTGGAACTTCTGGTTGACTAATTAATACTCCGAACACATAGAAAAGCAAAGCAAAACCTGCTATGTATACGAAAAATTCTGCTGCCTTTCCATTGTTGTCCTGACATTCAAGCCAACAATTAAAATGAATTTAATTTATTTTATAACTTATCCATGTGAAAACAACGGAAATACACAACTTACTGAGAGATTGATTAAAAATGGAAGTAGAATGGCACCAAGTATAGCAAAAAGAATGCACGAGAGTAAATCCATCCCAAATAAAAGATTGACACCTTGTGCAATACCCAATACCTATAATTTTGAATAGAAATATTATTACATGCAGTCTAATATGCTGTTGGGTTATTAATTGCAGAGTTGAGTCCGCAGAAATGTAAAAAAATGTAGAATAAAAGAATCGCATTACAATTATAATCAGCATAGCATACCATAGTAAGGTCCGAAATTATCATGGATAGTTCTGCTTGAACCCCCAAAAGCAAGCATGGCAGTGGGGTGTACTCCTCATTGCATATCTTTTTCACCCAAAAAAAAAAAAAAAACAATGCATGATAAATATTAGTTCAAGCTGCGCAAAAAAATTTGTGCCGATTGTAACATATGAAAGTAATGAAATGAGTATTTATAAAACTAAACTTGTCTGGTTGGGATAAGGTTAATGATGATGATGAATATATAAAAAAATGCCGATCGAAGAATTTAAGGGGATATCAAAAAAAAAATGATCACAACACAGGAGAATAAGCAAATGCTAAAAGCGTCTAAAAGAGCTTTAAAATAGAATTTAAAAAATGAAAATTTCAACCAACGAAAGACAGTAAGACCAATGGAGGGTGAAATAGCATCAGTTAGAACCAAGTTGTTAAGCTCTCATAATGCTTCGAAGTTCAGAGAGGAAGAAAAAACTAGAAATAGAGCATGAAAATACTTGATGGAAAGCCATGATACAAGTCGCTCTACAGTACGTTCATATCTTAAATGACATTGGCTAGACACGAGGATAAAAGAAAATTTCAAACACCAATGGTTTGTTTCTTAACGCTCAAGCAAGTTGCTATACAAGTGTGTTTCCATGATTCAAACTCCAGGTGTAACCAAAGGTTAGGGCTTTCAATTTTGCATTTCCCACATAAATCAGATTCAATGGTATGAAGGACCTTGAAAAGCAGTGAGAGTAACAAATTACTAGAGGAAACATAAGTTTCACAAGAAAACTTGCTTGGGTAGCATCATAATAAGAAGGTTCCATGGCACGCATTGCGATTGTTGATGTTGCAGTTACCCTACAATACCTTGATGACTGAATTATGACTAACTCGCACATTTGAATGCAAGTAGAGAACCTTCTGATATTGCATGTAATTAAAAAAAAAATCCAAATGACCTAATTTCATTCCCAACATATTACAAAGGAATGCAGATCACTAGAAACAATATATAAAAAAATAAATTACAACACAAAAAATTTAGTTAACAGCAAAATTTGCAAGGCAGCATGCTCTTAAGACGGATCCCTGGCACTAATTTTGGACGTTGAAATTGTCCTTTGATACCTTGGCGGCTTAATTATGACTCAAAGCTCAAACAGGAAAGAATTTTTTGATGTTGCATGCTATATTTTGACATGACCTAATTTCTCTTGGATCGCCAAGGGAAAATAGTTTAACTATTATATCAGCAATGACTGACCTATTTTATAATAACACTTTATCCAATGGAGAAGAGCCATACATGAACTATCTAATATAGGAGTAAAAATCATTCTGCCGCATACCTTGAAAGGGTTTTCCACATTTGTTAAGGAACATGAAATAATTGAATTCAGCCCCACATCAGATAATTAAAAGATATGTTAGTATAAAAAAAAGATCAGGTGGTTAACTTACAACATAGGTTTTAGCATAAAAATAAGTCAACCACTGGTAGATCATATCCAACTTAAGTCTCCTTTTAGTCTACGCTCACAATATGCATAACAAAGGGATCGACTATGGCAATTTCCCATGAATTGAGAGAGTAAAAATCATATGTTGATCTGCATGGCATGTATATAGAAGATTACAAGGCCAAAAATGGCAAGAGATAATATGTTGTTATTATAAGATAGCAAAATGAATTAGTAGATACTGTTTTTCCATATGGTTATATTGGGTGTCTGCATTATTTGAAAGAGATATTTCCTTAACATGCCCCATAAGGTGGTTTACATTGAAAACACCAAATCTTGGACCGAAGCAAGTGAAACTGTGACTTTAGTAAGGCTTTTGTAAACATGTCAAAAAGTCGATGGTAATTGGAGAAATATGAAACATATAGCAGGCCACAACAACCATCTCAGAAACAAAGTGATAATTAAGTCATCTGTGCTTCATTTTAGAGTGGAAAAAATTTTATCACATAGATAAGTGGACCTAAAGTTGTCTCATAGAAGATGTGGAGGTTTCCATAGTGTGATATGTAGTTCAATAAGGAGATCGGTGCAATCAAAAATTTGGGAGAGGGACACAAATTTTTTATCACAAAAGAAACAATGACTTCCTATATAAAAGAAACTCACAAAATACCCAAAAGAACACAAATACGATAAACCCCAACTTTATATAGTAAAATGAAAGACTTACAAACTTTGACTCTTACAAACGACGCTTACAACATAAACATAAACTCCTAAAGTTGCTTTGCCTTGAGAAGAAGGATACAGGTGGAATGAAACTTGCGGAGCGACGAAAGAGGTTAGAAGCCCGAGAAGAAAGAGGAGAAGCTGGCAAGGTTTCCTAGAGGAGAAGGAAGAGAAGTTGGACAAAGCTCGCAAGCTTTTCCAAACAACAAACCCGCAGGTTTCTTTCCAAAAATCACATCATAAACTTCCTAAAACAACCCAAAACACCTACTATTTATAGACATGAGAGGGGAATACAAACAACCCCAAAAACCCTTCATATTCTTAATTAAATAAGGGAAATGAAAAGCCAACAGTCAACTCCAGGAAATAAAGCACCAAAGCCACGGAAAAGCCCCCCAAAAGTCATAGGAAAGCAGCCCAGGCGGAACCCGAAGAGGCAGCCGTGGGAACCAAGAAGCCAAGGCATGGAAAACAGCCAACACCGGAAACCCAAAAGCCACCCATGGAAACTAATGGGATAAAGGCATATTTTTTAAAAGAAAAGAGGAGAAGAAGAGGCAAAATTAATGAGCTACTAATAAATTAATAAATGATCTAAAAACATAGCTCATAATGAGCTAACTCTTAGTTCAATAAATGAACTAAAAATCAGCTCATAATGAGCTAAATCTTAGCTCAAAAATTAATGAGAAAAATTAATGAGCTAGCAAGCTCAAGAGAAGTCAAAACTACATTTTTTTGTGTTTGATTTGCCCCCCCCCCTGTCTACATCAGACTCCTCTACTTGAGAACTCATCTCCCAATGAGTTAGCTTTTGTTTTCTTCCGAGGAGATGAAGACGGAGAATCTAGCTCTCGAATTTTTTCTTCATACCTTTTAAGAATTTCTGCTCGTTCTTTCAGAAACTGATCTTGTAAACGTTGCTTCTTCTTTATGTACCTCTCTGTACACAAATTCATCCATGATTGAAGTTTGTACAGCTCATATTGCAGAGGATTTGTTGACTTTGATGGAATCCATCTGTCCATCGAAAGAGGGTCTTCAATTTCTTCTGGCTTGCTTCCATCCTTGACTGAATCGATATTTTTGTCTTTTTCCATTTTTAAAAAAAAAAAGCTCAACAATAAACTTTGACTCAAAGAAAGTCTCAACCTAAAAAAACTCACAAGACTCACACAACAAGACTTGACTCACCAGGATTGACTTGACTCATAAGACTTACTTGACAAACCAACTTAAAAAACCTAGGACTTCCTAACTTACTCTGATATCAAATTGGTGTAATCAAAAATTTGGGAAGGGCCCCAAATTTTTTATAATAAAAAGAACACCTTTCTAAGAAATAGAAAATGTCATGAATTGCTAAAAAAGACACAAAATATGAATATTGAACTAAAAAAACAACTTTCATATTATAATAGACTATTACAAACTTGGACACAAACAAACAACACAATAAAGACAACGACTTTCCTAAAACCGCTTGCCAAATGTTGAGAAAAAGGATACAGGTGGGGTGGTCACTTGCGGAGAGAAGAAAGAGATTAGAAGCCAAGACGAAGGAGGAGAAGCTCGCAAGCTTTCCTAGAAGGAAGAAGAAGAGAAGTTGGACAAAGCTCGCAAGTTTTTCCAAGCAAACCCGCAGGTTATGGCTTCCAAAAATCACATTTTCTCACTTTCTAAAACAGCCACAAACCATCTCTATTTATAGGCATGAGAAGGAATACAAACAGCCCCAAAACATTAATTAAAAACTAATTAAATGAGAAAAATGAAAAGCCAACAGCCATTTCATTGTTTTCCCCCCAAATCTACACAGGAACCCAAGCTCCACAAGCCACAGAAAAGCTCCCAACACCCATGGGAAGCAACCCAGCCAAGGACCCGAAGAGGCAGTCGCAGGAACCAAAGAGGCCCGCACAGAACCGAGGCCCCCCCCCTTTGCCTAAATCAAACTCCCCTACTTGAAGAACTTATCTCCTGATGAGACTTGAGTTTGCTCAGAAGGCGTTGCATCAAGAGACACCAAGGCTTGAGATTGCTCACTTGACACCAAGACTCAAATGACAATATGACTCAAAACAAAACTTACATGACATCAAGACACACACGACTCATAAATCTAAGACTTCCTAACTTGCTCTGATACCAAATTGGTGCAATCAAAAATTTGGGAGAGAGACCCAAATTTTTTATCACAAAAGAAACAATGACTTCCTATATAAAAGAAACTCACAAAATACCCAAAAAAACACAAATACGATAAATCCCAACTTTAAATAGTAAAATGAAAGACTTACAAACTTTGACTCTTACAAACGACGCTTACAACAAAAACATAAACTCCTAAAGTTGCTTTGCCTTGAGAAGAAGGATACAGGTGGAATGAAACTTGCGGAGAGACGAAAGAGGTTAGAAGCCCGAGAAGAAAGAGGAGAAGCTCGCAAGCTTTCCTAGAGGAGAAGGAAGAGAAGTTGGACAAAGCTCGCAAGCTTTTCCAAAAAACAAACCCGCAGGTTTCTTTCCAAAAATCACATCATAAACTTCCTAAAACAACCCAAAACATCTACTATTTATAGACATGAGAGCGGAATACAAACAGCCCCAAAAACCCTTAATATTCTTAATTAAATAAGGGAAATGAAAAGCCAACAGTCAACTCCAGGAAACAAAGCACCAAAGCCACGGAAAAGCCCCCCAAAAGTCACGGGAAAGCAACCCAGGCGAAACCCGAAGAGGCAGCCGTGGGAACCAAGGAGCCAAGCCACGGAAAACAACCAACACTGGAAACCTAAAAGCCACCCATGGAAACTCATGGGATAAAGGAAGATTTTTAAAAGAAAAGAGGAGGAGAAGAGGCAAAATTAATGAGCTACTAATAAATTAATAAATGATATAAAAACATAACTCATAATGAGCTAACTCTTAATTCAATAAATGAACTAAAAACAAGCTCATAATGACCTAAATCTTAACTCAAAAATTAATGAGCTAGCAAGCTCAAGGGAAGTCAAAACCTTTTTTTTTTTTTGATTTGACCCCCCCCCCTTTGTCTACATTAGAGATTTACCATCCAAAAAGCTTCAACATTACCAAATGCCACCACACAATCTTCTGTCTTCGCCAATGATTAAGCAATGGAGCATTTCTACCTTGAAACCAAATAATTAGAATGGATCCAAGATAAATTATGTATGCAAATAGTAAATTATAATCATCCAAATTATTAGTTTGTTCCGCATTTAAGTCGTGAGATGAAAAGATGATGGTTGATGAAATCAAACCACAAAATATGGTATTTTTGAGTTATCATACCATGGTTTAAAATTGCGCAATATGAGGCTCGCCTTGAGGCCCGCCTTTGCGCAATTCCAGTAAAAAATGCCTCGATGCTTACGCCTCGAGTTTTTTTTATGAGACTTGCGCCTCAACTTGGTTGAGGCCCGCCTTGCCTCATTGGCATGAGGCGTATATTAAAACTTACATAAGTGTTGAAGTAAATGACCAACATTGGACTCTATAGGAGAGGAGGAAGGGGAGAGAGCAGTTCATCATAATGATGATTCAAATAAAGAACCCCTTAGTGATGACAGTGTTGATGGCTTATGAGTTCTTATGTGATATGTCATTGCTATTTGTTTTTCGAAATTGGAATTATATGTTAATGAAAAGAATACTGATATTTGAGAAAGATAGAATTTTGAGTTGAACTATATTTCATGTTGTCTTATTATTGGGATATTTTGATTTCACTTCATATCTTATGCTTTTTTATGTTTAATATTATTCACTCATTAGTATATAAAAAAATTTTTATTTTATGTTTACGCAATCTTTTAATTTTGAGGCTTACGCCTCAAAACGCCTTGAGGCTTACGCCTCGACTCACGAATGAAAAACGCCTCAAAAATCGAATACGCAATTTTAAACATTGTATCATACTAATTACTTTATTGTTGTCTAACGCAACTGAGTGGAAACTAGCATGAATTAGGTGAGTTTGTTTACTTTACAAGCAATGTTTGGTTGTGTGAGTGACAAACATTGCATGCCTATTGGATTTAATAAAAATATCACTACAACAATATAAAAGATGTGCTAATTGGTGTAATAGCTTCTTTTGTGACCTTCCACTTAAAATCACTCAAGTAAAGAGGCCGGGCAGTTATAATGGCTTCAACACCAAAGAAGTGAAGAGCTCTAAGATCCTTGATGGAAAAACAATGGCCATAACATCAATCACTTGTTTGACAATGGATTGAGAGGTTGATGTTATCAATAAATCATTGGCATAGAATATAGATTAAAACATAAATAATAAACGATTTGTTAGCTTAGATGACTGATGATGGATCAGATAAGGATTTGATGAATCCAAGGCATAACATGAATGCCTTAAGTGATTTGATCAA